CCCCGGCCCCCCCGCGACCCGCCGCGCCCTGGCGCTCAGCAGCCCCGCCCCTGGCCCCGTGCTGCCTTGACCCGAGGCGTTAACCCTGTTCTCTCCCGCGTCCGGCCCGCTGGCTGGCAAGGACGCCTCGGGGTTCCCCGTCCCCCAGAAAAGATCCCAGACTCCTAGCCCGCACCTCGAGCGCGTTTCCTCTCCTTGCGCGCCTTGGGATCGCCTAGGAGAGAAACCAAAGTTGACTTTCCCTGTTTTGAAGCCTGTCTGAAAGATACTACTTTCCAGCGTTAGTTTTAGATTTTACCTCACGTTTCCCCAGCGGATGCGTGTAAACTCGAGGCTGCTTTGTCTCTTTCCCTCTTGATTTCATTGGCCCAGCCTGGGAGCGTGCTGAGATTTTTTCGGTTGTTTGGAAAATTGCCATTCCTGACCCCCAACTAAACACCCGCGGCTTTGGCACCTGCCCCTCGCAGAGCCACTATTTGCGTGACAGTGTTAGCTCTCCTGTGGGCACGTGGGTGAAATTGTGCTGTGAGCCTGGAGATTTTCAAATTGCTGAAAGGGGCAGGGAGTTCAAATGGATGGTTCGTTTCTACCCGGAGCCGGTTACCCCTCCGGCAGAGGACTGGTTACCTAATAAATTTCTTTTCTCTTGAAACCTTGACAGCATGAGAAGGTGCCTTACATCTCGTTCAGCCCTCGTCTGCAGGATTTCTGAGAAGTCAGTTACTTTTCTTAAGGGTCTGCTTTTAATTTCTACATTTTCATTGCTTTATCCATTTGAACCATCTGTTTAAAAACTCTTACACAGATCATGGGAAAAAACCCATTAAAGTGCTTTACATTTTTCCCAATTAAGTTTCAGGACTTTTAGTTTCAATTTTTAAAAAGTATATATAAACCCTGAAAACAACACATAAATCTTAAACTAAAACAGATAAGACCCTGTAAACTGTATGACGGCTTGATTTAAATTCTCCTGGGCCAGAAGAAGCAGATTTTTAAAAACTTACATCCTTATTTATATTAATCCTCAACATATTTGTAAGATGGCCAATTACAATTTCAGTCACTGTAACTCCCAAGTGTGGGACTCGTGTCGGTCAAGTCAGTATGCCTCATCTAGGGTCATGGGAGAAGCGGTAACATAATTTGTCAGCAAACGGAATGATGCACACAGCAGTGGACTGTTTTTCACTTCAGGTGGTCTTGCATCTACTCATTACACAGCCTGAAAGACAAAAGTGCAGTCAGGCCAAACGCATAATTTCCTTTCAACTTCTGCCGTGTCGTTGTTCCAAGTGACTAACTTCAGTGCCAGAGTCGGAGATATGAAGCAGGATAAACTACAATAACCCTTTCTTGTCTTTTATTAAATCGAACTCTTGTGTTTAATTCTCTTAACATGCATCAACAGTCTTTGATGAATAGCATTTAGTGTGTTGAGTCATTTTTCAGTTTTCTGTAAAAGTTTCACAGGCTGGGGCGGATGTATTCTGGATGCTGAGATACAGGCTATATGTAATTCCACGCTTTATGCCTGCTATATACATTGCTAGCATCTGGGTGGAGGAGTGATTGATAAGGTAGGATAGAGTGAAGCACAGTACCTGACCTTAAAAAGTTCTCTGAAAAGAAATTATACAGAATGACTTCTCTCACTCAGAGCCTCATACAGGTGCTGTACCAGTGTTATAAATTCGTTTCCACTCAGGCCCATCCTTCTGTATACAAGGAATTGGGATTTTTCCGTCCTACCCTTGGTGCATTAGTGTGTAAAGTTTCCTGCATTATGTAGGGACTCCTTTTTCTTGTAGGTGTTTTCAGAGTTACTCATGACTTATTCTGTGATTCATACTTTAATTATACCTGCTAGTCAAGCTTTCATTTATGCTACCTTAACCCAGCTGCAAGAGACACCAGAAATGACTTTGCTTTGAGGTAGATTTACTGTCAGTTTTGAACTGCTGTTTTCATGTGTTAGCCTTTCACCACAATAAATGAACCAGATTCTTTCCAAGAGAAAAGGGTTTGTAAATAAAAGAGCAACTGTACTTGTTAGGTTTGTTTTCATACATTTTAATGGACTGAGACACAGCCTTTCCAAAAAGTTCCCCTTCACAGTACGTGGCGCTGTCAGTGGCATGATGGCTTCGCAAATATTAGTGGCTGACACATTCCTTGGCGTGGTTATTGGCACAGAGAAATGTTTCTGTTTGTTTTCTTAATTCTGACTTGGGATGTGTGGAGCTTGGTTTATATTTGAGAGCAAAGAGGTCGTACAGGATAATAAACTGATATATGGTATTTGTAAATCTACCCAAGACATTTTTCTTGACCTAGCTCACATCTGGCACTTAATATGTACTCAAAAAGTGTTATTCTTATTTTTCAGTTACATGGACTTAGACTTCCAGACTCAGACATTGTGAGGCTAAATTCAGCCTGGTAAGAGACGGCTAAACAGACATCAAGTATCCATGAAGGCTGTGCTGCCCTTCCTGGATGAGAAGGCAGGGACACTGTCGCTCTTGGCATTTCTCGTGTGCGTTATCTTTCTCCAAAGCTGTTCCTGACCAGTAGGTTCTACATCATTCTGGTTCAATCTTGCATCATGTCTAGGAAAACAGTACTGTATCCAAATTAATAAAGTGTTCAAGTTTTAAAAACATTTTTATTGCAGTTAAATGTATGTAACATAAAATGTATGGTCTTCACCACATTTAAGTAGATGATTCGTGACCGTTAAGGACCTTCACATTGCTGCGCACTCATCTCCGCCACTCACTTCCAGAACTTTGTTCTCTTCCCCAGCTGGAGCTCTGTACCCATTAAACGTGACTCCCCTCTGCCCACTCTTCTCAACTCCTGGCAACACCATTCTACCTTCTGTCTGTAAATTTGACAGTTTAGGTGCCTCAAATAAGTGAAGTCATACACTGCCTTCTTACCTTCGATGATCTAGTCATTCGTGAGTGAAGCAAAGAAATAAGAAACACACACACACACACACACACACACACACACACACACACTCAAATCTCTATATAGGAACAAGGTCTCCCTGTACAGTTTAGGCAGGCCTCATACCCACTATCCTCCTGCCTCAACCTCCTGAGTGTCGGCATTGGAGGTGTGTGTCACCTTGCCTGGGTAAGAATGAGATATGTTTTTAAGACCACTTGAACCTGCCTGATACATTTTTGAATCTATGGGGTTTTAAAGATATTCTTCTACCAGCAAAAAGAAGAAGTTCAAATTAAGCTCTTAGCAGGTATCGTTTAATCTGCCGTGTTAAAAGCAGTACCATTATTATTTCCCCCCTACACAGTCCTTCTAACATCACTGTTTCTTGTAAGATGGGTTGCTATACACATGGCATTACCTACTCCAATGGACAAGTGTACATATCATAAATGACAGCAGCCTATACAACTTAGTAATGTTGTCTTTTGCAGATAAAAATTGCTATCATGAAGTACAAAGCCCCTCTCTACTCTTCCTCCTTCCTTTGGACAGCTGTCTTGAAACCCTGACAGATGCTAAAAGTAGACTGGATTGAAGAAACCCAAAAGCATGAACATAGACTGCATTGTATGAGTCTAAGAATTCCGAGCATTCATTATCCAATAAATGGCCTGAAAAGCAATGTTTCAAGCTACTTGCGAGCGATGGAGAGCTGAGAGAAGGGAGCTTCGGTGAGGTTGATACACATGAAACCGGTGAAGAGATGAGCACAAGGCAGATTAAATGAAGGAAGAATATATACTGTGTGATTTCATGGGGGAAGTGGGGCTGCAATGAGACTCATGAGATTTGAACCTATGTAGAAGTGTCATCCTTTGTAGAAGCAATAGAGAGAGCTGTATTTAGTTCTGCATGCTGAATGTAAGGCTACTTAGTGTAGAGAAAGGAGCTGTTGTGGGGGACAGCATGAACCTTGGGGTGTAGGGTGGGTTAGAAGAGGGGCCGTGGCCCAGCTAAACAAGCAGGAGGAACTGCTGAAAGTGGGTTTGTTCTGAGAGACAGCACAACTTCCAAAATCCTCTCCAAATCTGAGATTTGCATTATCATGACTGACTTCTGAAGATTCAGATAAAGGAAAAGAAGAACAGAAATCTAAGCACGAAAACCCGACCAACTAGATACAATTATGAAGAGTAGAAAACGGGGTGAGGATAGAGAGAAGGGTATTGAATGATCTAATTTGAGAAAAACTCTTTAGCATAGTTTTTGACGTCTATTTAGTGTTGCCCCCTTGTGGCAAATCATTTTGCTCGGTGTCTGACAGAAAAGCAGAACAAGGGACTAAAAAGCAAAAGAGCCTCTCCATGTACTGGGTACCATACTCAGAGTTCTTACAGATATCACCTGATTCATTCCCTCCACCTTTCTTTTTTTGTGCGAGGGATGGAACCAGGGCCTCGGGAGTGCTAGGTCT